GGCGGGTTGGGGCTCTGAGACCTGGTCTGCACTCAGGTAGGCTGGGCTCGGCAGTTTCGGGTAGTGTGACCCTCGTTGGTTCCCCTCCCCCCCGCGCCTGTGGGGACCCCCTAAGCTCCCCTGGAGGGGGGCTAAGCCCTGCTGGCAGCAGGGCAGTGGCTGTGTTGGGGTGGGGGCTCCCCCTGGTAACTTCTCTCTGCTCTCCCCAGGCGCAAGGATGGGGTGCTTCACCTTTATCAAGGTTATGATGATCCTTTTCAACCTGGCCATATTTGTAAGTTCACCCCGGCTGCTGCCCCTGCCCGGGGTAGGACAGGGAAGGGGGTGCTGAGGGGTGAGTCTGGGCAGCCCCCTTATCTGTCCCGGGAACCTGGGATGAGGGGCTGGAGTCTGTGAAAGCAGCTGCCAGGAAGCACCTGGAGCTGGGCGTGGGGCCAGTGAAGCCTGCTGGTGTGGGCTGCCCCTTCATGCCCCTTTCTACAGGGGGTGTGGGCAGTTGGGTGTAGATAGGACTTGTGCTCCTGGTGGGGACTAAAGTCTGGCCTTTTGCCCCAGGCTAAGGGTCTCCTGCTCCAGGGGTCTGCCCAGCTCTGGCCAAAGCCAATGGGACAGTGCTGGGCTCTGGGGATAGTGGCTGTTACATCAGCCACCCATGTCCTTCCTTGTGCTGAAGCTCTGGCAAGGGCTGTTGTTTGCCCCAGAGCAGGGGGGGTTTGCTGAGTTCCTGCCTGGGGGGCCTCTGCCCTCTGTAAGGGAGCAGCCCATGTGTGCAAGGATGACCTGTGGTGTTGGAGGTCTCCAGAGCACACCCAGCCTTTGGGCTCACCCAGGGCAGAGGGTGGTGGAGCTCCTCAGAGCTGTGCTGGCTCTGTGGGAACATTGGAGCCACCTGAAAGTGGGTACAATGGGTTATAGCCTTGGGAAGGGGGGGTGCAGAACCTCCAGGCTTGGTCTGGTGCAAATTCCCTCCTTAAAGCTCCTACCAAGATGTAGGACTGGTGGGTGGAGGGCAGGGCTGGGGCAGCCTGGAGGCAGCTTTGAGGTCTGTGGCTGGGGGCTGCTCAGCTGCTCCCTCAGAAGGAGGAACTTGTGGCAGGGTGTCTGAGCTGGCCTTGTGGGCCTCTCTGGGGCCAGGGGATTGCAGGTGGCACTTGGCTGGGGGTTTCTGCCCTGCTGCTGCCACCAAAACCCCTTGAGCTGGGGAAAGGGGCAGCTGTGATACCATAGCTGGGTGTGTTCTGGGGTAGTGACCCATCCAGTTGCCCCAAGGATGTGGTGGCAACAGCCTGAGCTGCCCTCTGTAGCCACAAAGTCTTGCTTTGGCATGGTGAAAACTTGCAGCTGGGAGAAATACCTGTGCCAGGGTCTTCCCAGATCTCGGATTTCTGCCTGCCTGGGAGCTGACATGATCCTTCTCTCCCCAGCTCAGTGGTGGGACCCTCCTGGGAGTTGGTGTCTGGGTCACAGTGGATGAAAAGTCATTCCTGGATGTATTTGGGGCGCTCTCCTCTAGCGTCCTGCATGTTGTGAATGTGAGCTACTTCCTCATCGTCATTGGTGCCATCCTGCTGGTGATTGGGTTCCTCGGGTGCTGTAGTGCCCAGAAAGAGAGCAAGTGTCTCCTGATGGTGGTATGAACTTGACTTATCATCTTACTAAACCTCATTTGAGCTGGGTCTCTGCTGGGGGAGATCTGAGGGACAGATTTCTTTGTGGAGATTTGCTCCTTGTGTGCTTCCATGGGGTGGAAGGATGGGTGGAAAGGCAGTGCTGGATCCACAGTCTGCCCAGGGCAAGGCTGAAAGGAAGCAGAAGCTGGTGCTGAGCACAGGTTTTTCTTGGAGCATGTCCAGAGAGGTCAGTCACATGCAGACAGAGGGTTGGAGGACCCCAAGGTTGTGCTGTGTCTGCCTTGGAGCAGAGCTGAAGACAATGAGATAGGGCTTGAGCTCTGAGGTATGATTCTGTGGCCCTTGGTCCTGCTTTGACTTCCTTTCCCTTGCTGTATTCTAGTTCTTCTCAGTGATGCTGATCATCTTCATTGCTGAAATTGCTGCTGCTGTGGTGACCTTGGTCTACACAAATATTGTGAGTGGCGTATCTGAGTCTTGGGTTGGGCTAATCTGGGACTTGTTTTACTCCTTGGGAAAACAGGAGACTTTGAGAGGGCTGGCAATGCTGTCCTTGGATAGGGAAGCTGAGAGGTGGGCAATGCTAAGGGGTGCTGGTCCCTGCTGGCACCAGCGATGTGGGCAAATGTGGGTGGTGAGGCTGGAACGAGGGTGGAGGGAACAGGGGTTCCTATTGCCCTGAGGAAATGAGGGCTTGGTACAAGTTTCACCTACTTCTTTGAACACGTAGTCTAGTACCAGCTGGGGCTTGACACCTCTCCACCTCTGGTAGGAGCCATAGAGGAGAGGAAGGTCCCTCATGCTGAGCAAACTCAACCCCTTATTAGGCATTCAAGAAACCACCTGGGGAGAAAGGTGGCTGCTCCTACCCTCATGGGCTTTGCTTCATTAGGCACAGGAGAAGTCAACCGCAGGGCAAGCGTCATTCCTGGCTCCCTGGGTTATGCTTATCAGATGACTCACTGGCCATGAAGTGGCCTTGGTGCCAGAAGGCATTGGTTAGTGGGGAAGGGGCCAAGCTGTCTTTGGGACAAAGGGATGCAGTGTGATGTGCTTCTGGCCATGGTAGGACTGGTTGGTCTCCTCATGGGCTGAGACCAGTATGAGGGCTCTTGGCTCTGTGGTGCTGCCCAGGATCTTCTCTGATGTTTCCCTGCCTCTTCTTCCAGGCAGAAACGCTGCTGAAGTCTGTGGTGACCCCTCTCCTTCAGAAGAAGTATGGCAGTGATCCAATTCTCTCAGAGAACTGGAATGAGACCATGAAAGAGGTGTGCTGACCCTTTGGGCCCCCAGCTGTGGGTCAGGATGCTCCCGGCACAGGCTTGGTGTTGCCCACCTGGGGGAGTCAGCAGGATGGGGATGAGGACATTGTGGTCCTGGATGTGCAGAGCTATCACCAGACCATGGCTTCCCAGCTGCCTGGGAATCCAGGATCTAGGTGTCCCTTTGCTGGGATGAGAACTATACATGCTGTAGAGTGGGGCAAAATCCTGATCCCAGGAAAGCCCTCGTGCATCTTTCCCAGAGCTGGGTTGAACTGGGTGACCCCCTCCATGGGCCAATGGGATCCAGACTGTGTTTGACCCAGGAGAGAGACCTGCAGTGATGCTCTCCCCTTCCCTTCATCTCTGTCCCTCCTAGCTCAAATGCTGTGGCCTGAATAACTACACAGACTTCACCGACTCCCCCTGGTATAAGGAGCACAACAGCACCTTCCCGACCACCTGCTGTGAGGACCTGCAGCCCTGCACCTCTGTCCTGGCTGCACAGAAAAATGTCACGGTATGGATGCTGCAGTGGCTCCTGCCTTCTGGCAGAGCCTGGTTTGGGGTGACCTGGCACAGGGACTCCTGTCCTGTAGCTCCAGCCCCAGCTCTGGGCATGGTGGTCCCATGGGCTTTTAAGTCCTGGGAGATGCTGTGGTGGCCTTGGCTTCTCCCTGGTGGAGACAAGTCAAGCTGCTACCAGCCCTACAGGGAGCTCTGCAGCAGGGTGGAATGCCTAGAGCTGAGCATCAACCCAGGCATCACTGCCTTTTTGGGTGATTTTTGTGCCTCTTCCTCCTCTTCACCCTCAGCACTGTGCTTTGGCCTGAGGTGTGGCCACTAGTTAAAGGAAGGAAAAAAAAAATCAGTTAAAAGAACATTAGCTTAATCCTGGCTCAAACCAGGACAGTGGCTGAGATGAATTGCTCCCTGAAGTTGATCTCCTCCATGGCCATGCAGCAACTATACCTTCCTCTTTGGGAATGCTGCTTCCCAACAGTCAGGGGATTGCTGCCTCATGTCCTCCCCTGTGTGGTTGCCTCTTGCAGGGTTGTTTCAAGCAGATTGTGCAAGAAATAAAGACTCATGGAGGTGTGGCAGGTGGTGTGGCAGCTGGCATTGCTGCCCTGGAGGTGAGTGCCTGAGCATTGTTGTGCTGCCTCCGCCTCCTTGCTCCTGGAGGTGGGTGGTTGGGGCTGGGACCAGGCAAGGTGGCTTGAGGGGATGCAGCCCCATAAGCTGTCCCAGGGTGACTACTGAGCCTTCTTCTCTGGAGACACCCAGCTCTTTCTCCTTGGGTGTGCTGAGGATGAGTGCTTTGGGCTATGACCCGAACCTGTTGCTGGGGGTGATACTTGGAAGGGCTGACTTGCCTCTTGTCACCCACAGGTTGCAGCCATGGTGGTTTCCATGTACCTGTACTGCCAGCTGGATCAGAAGTGACCCCAGGAGGATGATCTGTGCCCCCCCACCATGCTGGGGGGG